TATCCAGCCTCGCGGCCTTAAACATGATGGGTTTTAAAATCTTTTAACACGTGCCCCACCTTAAGAGGTGGTCGAAGCACGTGACCATCCAGCCTCGCGGCCTTAAACATGATGGATTTCTAAATCTTTTAACACATGCCCCACCTTCAGAGGTGGTCGAAGCACGCGACCATCCAGCCTCGCGGCCTTGAACATGATGGGTTTTAAAATCTTGTAACACATGCCCCACCTTAAGAGGTGGTCGAAGCACGCGACCATCCAGCTTCGCGGCCTTAAACATGATGGGTTTTGTTTTAACACATACCCCACCTTCATAGATGGTCGAAGCACGCGATCATCCAACCTCGCGGCCTTAAACATGATGGGTTTTAAAATCTTTTAACACATGCCCCACCTTCAGAGGTGGTCGAAGCACGCGACCATCCAGCCTCGCGGCCTTAAACATGATGAGTTTTAAAATCTTTTAACACATGCTCCACCTTCAGAGGTGGTCGAAGCACGCGACCATCCAGCCTCGCGGCCTTAAACATGATGGGTTTTAAAATCTTTTAACACATGCCCCACCTTCATAGGTGGTCGAAGCACGCGACCATCCAGCCTCGCGGCCTTAAACATGATGGGTTTTAAAATCTTTTAACACATGCCCCACCTTCAAGGGTGGTCGAAGCACGCGACCCTCCAACCTCGCGGCCTTAAATATGATGGGTTTTAAAATCTTTTATCACATGCCCCACCTTCATAGGTGGTTGAAGCGCGCGACCATCCAGTCTCGCGGCCTTGAACATGATGGGTTTTAAAATCTTTTAACTCATGCCCCACCTTCAGAGGTGGTCGAAGCACGCGACCATCCATCCTCGCGGCCTTAAACGTGATGGGTTTTCAAATCTTTTAACACATGCCCTACCTTCAGAGGTGGTCGAAGCACGCGACCATCCAGCCTCGCAGCCTTAAACATGATGGGTTTTAAAATTTTTTCACACATGCCCTACCTTCAGAGATGGTCGAAGCATGCAACCATCCAGCCTC